TAAATATTTTTTTCTGCTTCTTCTTCTTCTTCTTCTTCTTCTTCTTCTTCTTCTTCTTAATTATTATGAATATATTTTATAATTATACACACACACTGATTTTTGTCTTATGTTTTTTTTCTTGCTGCTGCGGTTTCGTTCTTTTTGTTTGCTAATCAATCCATAGCCGGGAGAAGAGAGTATCAAGTGAAGAAAAGCACTCACCAAATGCCAGAGAGAGAGAGCACTCAAACCACTTTTGGTTTGTCAAAAATTTTATCTCACTTTTGAATTAATTAAAAATGCTTTGATCTCGTGTGTGTGTATGTCTGTTTGTATGTTTGAATGCTGAGTGCTCAATCTCGAGCTCTGACAAAGAGAAGGTGATTTCTAATTAGACTAAAGATCATTTGGCTTTCAGACGAGTGATTTGAATTGAATGGTTTTGTTAGTTGATGGTTTTATTTTTGGATTGAAAGCACAATTAGGTGAATTTCGAATCAAGTTGGTTGGAATTAGAGTTTCAACGAAGGCCGTAATGATGTGTTTTGGATCACAGCACGACAATTAGCTGGGTGCAAATCAACAAACTCGCACTCAAACAAATTGCCAGTGTGTGTTCGATATAGAGGAAATTGTCACATATTTTAAATGACGCGGCAATTGCTCGCGCCATTTCGAATGGATTTTTAAGCGTTTGATTCATATGCGGAACACAATCTCTGTGTTTCGCTTGGCGCAAAGTGAATGAAAACTAATTGAAAAAAAATGAGAGTGTGAGTTTTAATTTTGCGTGTGGTATTAGCTACATTCGGATGAAATGATAGAGCATTGAAAGTGTGTGCTTGGATCACTTCGATCTTTCAATATTTGCTAATGAGACTGACGAGGTATGATAGTTTTGTTTATCTACTTTCGGTAATTATATGTTCCACTATATATTAAGGGTCTTTCTAAAATCGATTGTTTCCTCTGTCTTACCTCAACACCGAAAAAAGACAATTGAGATGAGCTGTTGTTCTCGTCATCGCCGTCATCATTGAAAGATCCAATCGCTTAAAATGTGTTTAATATAATTATAACGTCGATGATTTACTCGTTGTTTGGAATCACTTCATTCCGAGCAGATAGAAAAAAAACGTCTTAATCGTTATGGCAAAGAAATAGAAATCGATGGAAATAAACTATATATAAAAGCCACACCACATACATGTATGTAAGTAGCTTGAAAAATAAAAATAAATTTATCGAAACGAAATGAAATGATGATCCATCGTTAAGCATATAATGGGAATTGATTTTTAAACATCATTCGCAAACGCACCAGAAAAGCATTCACTCCCAATGGAAATAGAAAAAAAACAATTCATTCTTCTTTTCATCACTCGTATCGCACGCTAAAAGCGCGCACGCATACACACACACATACACGCACCGACAATTCAATTGCTTTATAACTTCATCGATGGCCGAAATAATGTAATTATAAATAAGATGTAATTACAGCGAGTCAATGTGACCACCAAAACTGCGTATTATACACAATTTGTATCAATTGTAGCTGTCATTTTCATTACTCATTACCTCTTGACCACATTAAATAAATGAACTACGAAAATGGGTAATTCGCTGTATTTTGTTCCTTTTCTTCGTCGTCGAAATATGTTTATGACCAGAGCATACCGTAAATTGTCACCAGATGAGAGCCGGAACCGAGTTGACGAGTTAAAAAGTTGAATGAAATGAAACCTGTACAAATGAAATCCGATGATTGGCCGAGTCAACAATATCAAAAGAAACACGTAAAGGAAGCAACCGCTTGCACTTTTCTTTTCCTTTGTATCATTGTTCTTTCTCTTTGATGCTGATGATTTTTCGGCCATGTGAATTGAACTCAAAACAGAACTCGATACACATACACGTACACACACATGCGGTGCGCTCTCGAACGATGAAAGTGACAGAGAACATGCTTTTGGTCGAAATGTGAAAGAGAAATTTTCGGTTGTGTGATGATGAAACATTCGGGGCAAAACAAAAATACAATCGAACCTTCAAAGATAAATCCCGCCATATAATGACAATGATGGCGATGGCGTGATTTATTTTTTGGAGATAGACCACGAAAAAAACGACCAAATTAAATTAAATTCTGATGATTCCGTGTCATTCGTACGGGATTTCTCACAGTAGCATTTGATTCGAGCGGGTGCATGTCATTTTGAAAATCAGATTAGTTTTTTTCTTTTCGAGTTCCATAGAATCGTGTCCTCCATTCCAATCATGCCAAAAGAAAAGCAAACGATAAAAATGAATGTGCGTTGGAATAGAGAAAAAACAACAACGACACGATGAGGTTTTTTTTTGGTGAAAGTAAAACGGGAAACATTTCATCATCTTGTTTAAGCATCACATCAATATTGGAGTTGCATACGAACGAACAAGCATGAACGAACTAAAAAAAAACAAACCACGCATACACGCATACTCAAGGGCTATTCACTGCGGGCAGGAGAGTGAAAAAAAAGAAATGCCAAGTGCTGGCCAAACACACCACACAACGAAGAACAACGCACGAAGAAAGAAGCAACAAAAAATGTAAGCCTTAAATTTAAATAAAAGCCCAACACGACATGCAAACGATAATTGTTTTATGGCATTTCGAATGTATAAGTATGGTTCTGTATTTTCAGGTACATTTTTAATTCACCGATTAATATTAATCAACGAAACTTTGTAATTGCTCTCGCTTGATCTGTTGTTTTAAAACTTGTTATGTGCGGTATGTTGTTGTTGTTGTTTTTTGCTTGCTTGCTGGTTGTTTTCGTTCGTTTGGTACCGAGCCGTTTTCATTTTGATGGTCATTGTTTCTGAATGACCGTTTCCATTGATACGATTGTTGTCTGCATGTACATTTTTATTTATTTTGGTTGTAAATCTAGTGTTTTGACTGAAAAAAAAACGAAAAATTTCTCTTTCATTACGCGATACGTATGAATTTCGGCTTTTTTGTCGGTCATATCACCAAAACTAAACAATTTTCGCGTGAATGTAATCTCTGCGCAGATCTTGCAATCGGTACATGATATTCTGTTATTCGAACGAACAAAAAAAAACAATATGAATTAGTTTTGTATCACCCAAAGAGAACCGACCGTAAGTAAAATGTAAATCTGGCGTTGCATTTGGACCAAATCTCGACACGAGATGAAAGTGCTCTCTATCGCATTAAAATCTCGGAACTTTTGCTTTCATTTTGGCTTTATTTGGAGACGCTAATTGATTAAAATCGTTTTCTTAGATTTAACCCATCGCTGCTGCTATGACGATAGGAATAGGTAAAAGACTGACTTTTTAATAATACTTTCTATTCACAACATTCAATTCGGACATGCAAACAAATCCATTGGATTTTCGCTTTCGAATTTCTTTATTAAATTTGTAGCTCGAAATTAACGAAAATAAAGTTCATGACCCTTCGGTTCAATGACATATATGACTCTCGTTGAATTCTCCACTGCGTAACCGATTTCTTTGGGATTAGGCTTAAAAAGAGAGAAAAATATGACGAACTACACGCGCGCACATGTTACCATGCACAAAAACAGAAATCAACTGTTTTCAGGATATGGTCGATTTGATGGTTTTGTAAACATGCGCGCACTGGCTTGCTCGCTTGCCCGCGAATATCGATCAAAGGCATCAAAATGGTAATTTATTCAAAAATCATTGCATCCATAACAAGAGCGTACAATTTATGGAATAGAAAGAAGACACTGCCCCGACGTCACCATTATTGAACGAACGAGTCATACACGATCGGCGAACAAAGGCGAGCAACGTAAAATCAACCTGAAAAAAAAAGAAAATTAATCATGTTTAGTTTCATTGGATACATAATAAATTTTTAGAAAACATGAACGCGTGTGCGCGTTGTTCGGTCGCCACTGACTGTAGCATTGTATGCCGCGCATACTCGCTTATTATTGTTATTATTATATATATTGATGTGGAGTGCACATCACTTGCTGCTTCTGCTGCAGTTGCTGTTAAAGCGCGAGCTTATCACAAATACAGCTCTGACTGACTGGCTGGTAGTCGGGCTGTGCGAGAGTTAATTCGCGTTTTGTGTGCGCGTTTATGTGAAGAATGTTTTGCGAAAAATGTATCATGATCCATTAAACACACAAATTATGATTGCAATTGAGCGCTTTCATCTTTTTTCTCCTGCAGCGCAAAATCACAAAACACCAGCAGCAAAACAACAACACACAACGAGCAGCAACAGCCACAGAGGCCGCAACAACAACAAGCTCGGCTGTAACAATAAATATTGCACTCCAATTACAGTGCTATGACCAAATTATGATTATTCGCGCCTGTGTGTACAAAGAACTAAGAAAAATACCAAAAACCTAACCATTCGAAATCGTGGCACAAACATTTTTAAAAACAAAACGAAGACGAGTGCAACACACACAGACACAACAATGGCCAGTCACAAGCTTGCACATTTCGATCCGTGAAAATTTGCAATAGATCGCTTGCAATATTTTTTCACTCGTGTTCACTCACTCGCTCGCTCGTCTCTATCTTGCCCACGATGCACGTACACACGTAGCTGCGGTGGTATGCACGGGCGGATTTTCATGGCCAATTCACACGCACACACTGACAACCGCAGCCGCTAAGTATCAATTTTCCAAATGATAAACTCTGATCGAATCGGCACAGTAGTGCGAAAAAAAAGACGATGGATGAGCAGCAGTAACAAAAAAATGATATTCTTGGCTGTTTTTTTTTTCTTTATCATGTTTTCGTTTTTTTTTGTTCGTTCATTCGTTCGTTCGTTCGTTGGCTGCTATTGCCCGCGCTTGCATTGTGATTATTTCGTTTATGCGCAAAATAATTGCATGCAATTGGAAAAATCGATGGAAAAATGGGGGGCATGCTCACAAAGTGTGAAAACCATAAAAATGGAAGATTTTCCAAATGCATCATTATTTTTGCTCTATCACCAAACCAAGAAACAATTAGTGCCTGCACTGCATTGTTTTCAAACAAAACAGAGGAACTAGATCGGTCTCAATCAGTTTATCGAGAACAACAGCAAAAATAACATCTCGAGCCAACAGCACACACAAACTCAGCGAATTTTCTATTTCGTGCCGATTCTCTTCGAAAAAATAACATGTGCATAGTGTAATACGGTCCGCAAAATACAATACGGAGTCATATTTAGTTAAACCATAATCTTATTTAGTTGAAGAAAAAAAATCAAGTTACTGAAAGAACAAAATCACACACAGAAAAACAAATCACAATGTCGTTCCAAAGTGTCCGCAAAATGTGCTTGAAATATGTAGTGCTGACCGTGGTGTTGAGTTCATTAGTGCTTGCCGATCAGGCGACCGAAAATAGTGAATCGTTGGTATCAAAAATGACCTGGGATTGTGCCAATAATGCCAGCTGTTTCAATTCAATCAAAAATGAATTCTTGCACGGATTACAACAACGCAAATCATTCAATTTCGATGGATTATTCAGCATTGAACCAACGGTCGGTGACAAATCGAAACCAATTAGCGAGGGACGTGGATTTATGTCAAACATTTTCGCTGACAATAAATTGCGCATCCCATTCGGCGGACTCGCTATGACCATTCAACGTGCCGAACAATATCCCGACTATCTTGAAGTTGCTATCGAAAAGAATGCACAAGAAGAAGGTAATCTCATTTTAAAATCATCAAAACCAAAGAAAAAATCTATAATACAAAGTGGAATTATGAAAATATTCAGTTCAGTTCAGTCTTGATTCATTTCATTTGAAGTAAAAAATCAAGTTCTTAATTGAGCCACATTTACGATTCATTTTGATCGTTAAATTAATTACTGCGTTTGAAACCCTAAATAAACTTCAATCATTTCAAAGGTCGTCGTCGCAACGGACTTGGTAGTGGACACGGAGGTGGGCTCGGTGGCCATGGTGGACTTGGTGGCGGTGGTGGTGGATTGAGAAAGAGCAAAAAATATGTGCAAACATTCATTCCATTGTTCTTGGCATTCAACGCTGTTGGCTGGATGTTACTTGCCGTTAAGGCAGTTGCTGTTTTAACCGTTAAAGCATTAGTTGTCTCGAAATTGGCTTTGCTTGTGGCCGGTACCATTGTTTTCAAGAAGCTCATGGATTCTGCTACCGAAAAGTATACCAACGTTCTGAAGAAAATTGCCATTTTTTCTTCATTTTTAATTTGATATTGTTCAATTTATTCTCTTAACTTGGAAAAAATACTGAAATTGTCCTTTTAAAAATTGATTTTCCGCATTCGATTCAGATGGCATGGATTCGACCACGGTGATCATGGTTTAGTTGGATTACCATACAACATGGAATACGCTTTGCCCAGTCATAACTATCACACAACCGCTGAATTGAACGGAGGTGATTTGTTCTCAATGCCATTGCAACAAGCTGCTCACGATGCCGTTGCCGTTCAACCAGCTGCCACACACACGTTCCAAACGGAAGCCTTAGCCCCATCAGAAAGTCAACTTAGTCCAGTCATTACCGGTTTTACTGCCCAACAAAAATCAGCCCATATCGCACAACCATTGGTCGCCACTTCAACTGGAGCAAAGGTGAAACGCCAAGATGACATTTGGACAGGTAAAAAATAACCAAATCAACAATTTACTTTTTGATCTGAATTTTTTTGAACCCCACTTTTCGTAGGTTACCTCAAGAAACCAATGTTCTATAATGGTGCTTCATACTTCCAAGGTTAAAAAACCCAAACATCGATTCGTAAAAACTACCCGAAAATTACGTCGAAATAAAAAAAAAAGAACGATTCGAAAAAACGGTATCTCCTTCTTCATTCGTGGGCTCCTAAGACATTAAAAAAGAAATTCCGAAAAAACCTCCCAAAAACGTGAATGTGTTTAAAATCCAATTCAAATGGTCAAATTCTTTTGCTCAACGTTCTGTTCGGAAAATTTTTGATTTTTTTTGTCATAAAAAACTAATTTCTCTTTTGAGTTTTTAAAAAAATACCGATTGTTGTTTTTTTGTTCTATTTTCCCAAGTTTTTTTTAATTCAATTCAAACGAATGTGCTGAGAGATGTTAGAAGAGGTGGAAGAGATGAAAATAGACAAAAAAAAAGAAACAAATACACAGTGTAGGGAATGAAAACGTAACGAACGCGCGCGCGCCAGATATACCATTATAGTCACATTCAAAGCACACACACACAAACACACAACGTAACGCGAAGACCAAAAAAATGCTAAGAGAGTTTATTATTTATGTTACATTTTGTAAAAAGTATTTGAACAAGGAAAAAAACGCAGCAAAGAATTAAGCAAGAAGTAATTGTTTTCAAATTACCTACTCGACTAATATTTATTTATTTATTTTATTTATTTACGTGTCTCTGACGAACGAAAAGCAAGCGAGCAGCTGTAACAACATCAACAAAAGAAAAAGAAAAATTAATGAATAATAACAATTTATATTTTTAAGAGGAAAGAAAAACAAAAAAAATGCCATTTGTTTTACTTGTATCGTTTTCGCTTCAACTTTCCTATTTTTTCTGTTGTTCTCTTCTTTTACTTCTTTTCCTGGTTGCTTTATCATCGATAATAATACACGTGCTGTTCATACTTCTGAAGCTCACTCAATGCTCTCTCTCACACACAATCACGGGTGAAATCGTGATCATGCGTATCTTATATTATTTAAGCAATTCATTTGCATAAATATTTTGATCGTACGTATTCATCAATTGCATGGATGATATTGTGTCGCTGGTTACATATTGACCGATGCCGAAGATAAAAACCAAAGTAGAGAAATAACACATACTGAGAGAGAGAGAGAGAAGCCATAAAAAAAGAAAGAACGACAAAGTCGTAAAGTGAATTCTTCGGGTCTGTCGTAAAACACCGTTGTTGCACGGCATGGCTAATGTCAATGCAGCAAGACAATTGCGCGCAACGCGTGCTTGATGACGATACATTACAAGTGCAATGATGATTGCATCCAATTGGTATGTCATTACGTCATCCGTGCAACGCACGGCACACAAATCGTCATGTACACACGAATTTAACGACAATCGACCAAACAAACCAGAAGAGAAATTTAACAACGGCCTTGAAATGATGGCATCATTCGTGTGTCGGTCGGTGTGTGTATAAACAGGACTTTCACATTACAAGAATGCAAAGAGGACGTTCACACACAACGTTTGCATGGGAAAGAAGAGAAAAAACCGAGGAAAAAACAGCAAATTAATACTCAAAACGCATTCGAAGGTGATTAAAAACCAAAACAAGAAAGTGAATAGTCGACGTAGGTTGAGACGATCGGTAAGTATTTGACATCAAACAGTCTCCCAAACAAATCCCAAATAAAAACAATCTTTTTTTATGGCCGTATGCGTGCGTTTCTTGATTTTGTCCAAGCATTTGCATACAAAATCGATTTGTTTCCGAAACTTTTTCTCCAGTGACCTCGATTCTAGAGACACTTCATTTTATTGTTGTATTTTTCGGTTTCTTTTCGTCTTCACAATCATGTTGAGAACGACATTGAATGGGAAATTTTAGAGTCTTTCACTCTCTCTATCTCTCTTAGTCGCCATGCGCACCTCTGTCCAAATCGTATCATGTGTCGTTCTGTGCATAACGATGCTGTTTGGTGAAAATTGTGTTGTTTTTCTGCTTCTGCCCAAGAACAAGACGTAAGTAATATTTATGTTGATTGCCGTCGATGGCATCGAATGTAGCTTCATTTTTTCTTCCGTTGGGTGTTGTGCACGCGCGCATGCCATCAAACGCTGTACAGCTCTGTTACTCTAATGGAGTGAAACGAATGGTTACCGCATTTTCAATCAACATATGCACGAAGCATACGGCTGATAAATTGAAAACAACGATAAATTATTACCCAAATCCAGAAGAAAAACATTTTTATGGAACTGAACAACAGAAAACCGACGACGTCGACGCGCGGCCACATCATTTCTCGTCCATTCTCATACGTGTATAATCGTTTCCGTGTATGCCGTTATTCAATCAGCTTGGCTGTGGGTACTCTCTTCCCCAGTGTGTGATGTGTGTGTGCGTGTGTGTGTTTGATCCATTTGATTTTCGATATCTGAAATGCGTAGAAAATCGTTTCAATCGTTCACATGGTTCGATTGAAAAGTGTCTTTCGGAGCTAATCGATTGATTTCGTGTATGATCCGATACAGAATTCCGATGGAATTTTAAATGTATACAAAGAATGTCTCTTGTTGGAGCGATTTGATGATTCGGTTAATTTCATCTGCCTCTCTTCATCTCGTCGTCGCTGGTTTTTTTCCTCTCGTTCGTTTGAGTCGAACGCTCATTTGCATCATCCATCGTGTCGTTCATCACGATAGAGTGTGTGTGCGAGTGCGATGAACACATGGCGATTAGTATTTTTATGTGTTTCTATTTTTTTTTCGGCGACAAAATGAGAAAGATTCTCAATGAAAATATTCATATTGGTATTTGTCCTAGTGACCCAAAAACACAACGGATTTAATGGACGGTTGTTTTTGTTTCGGGCGTGCGCTGTCGCCGTCATCATCGACGTCGCTGCTCATTTTTATGAGCTTTTTTCTTCTTCTTTGGACATTCGCTTTTTTGCTGTTGACTCTGTTTTTTTTTTTTTCAGTGGATTATTATTAAAAACGCATATGTTTGAAATACGATACAAATAAAAATTGTGTACACTCCCATGCACTTAAAATTAATAATTCTTCATAATTTCACCATTGTTCACTCCTCTGCACATTGCAAAAAATTCTTTGCCGATGATGAAAAGTGCCATTCGCTTCTTTCTGCTTTTAAATCCAGTCGCTAGCCATTGTATTTTTTTCTGTTTGATTCTGAAAAAAAATTACCCAGCCTTTTGTGACTTATAATTTACATTTTTGCGCGCCCTCGAGAGTGCGACCAGCTTACAAATTTCGTAGAGTGAATTTTAATTCCCTTTGAAGCTGTAAACCTATAGAGAAATTATTATGGACATGCTTTCAATTAGTTCCTTTTTGTGGAATTTATTTACGATTGCAGCCTAAATAGAAGAGATTCGCAAACAATTTTCGTCATTTGATGACGTGCGACATTTTTCTCATACCATTTCACTTGGTTCAAATCTCTTTCAATTTTTTTGTATGTGCTTCACTCATTAAACCAACGGTAGAAAATAGAAGACGCAAATTAAATACATACACACAAACATAGAGCAAAAAAAGACTGAAACGAAACGAATGCAGGGGCTACTTGAGATATTCGCAAACGAATGGAATTTTCAGTACTGTTAATCAAACGGCTAACTGTCAATTTCATTTTTATATCAATGAACAGCGTGCGATGCGGAGGCACTCGACTCTTTCAAGATAATTTCAAGTTTATTCAAATCCGTTTTGATCGTCTTTTTTGTAAATTCGCACTTGAAAAGTAAACGAGCTGCTCTTACTGATGACTGAACACTTCTCTTCTGGTGATTTTTCAAGAGAAATAGAGGAATAGAGAAAGAGAGATGGAGAAAGAAATGGAGAATTTAACAAAACGCAAGCACAAACAAAACAAGAAGAAAAAGCATCGACATGAGATTACATTTTATGGATAAAAAGTGTAAATGAATAAATCTAACAATAGACCAAATGGAAGTTTTTTACTTTTTTAATGGAATAAATAACCGAAAGACAAATAGGCAATACTGGTTAATTATCGTAAAACCACATCCATTTCCATGCCGTATGGAAAGTGCATGAGAACGTTGATTTTTGTTGCACTCAGGGGCGCTTTGCGAATGCACGCTCACTCTCTCTCACTCTTTTTCTCCATCTGTAGCAAGTAAAGTGTGCATCGACAGCTGCTCAATTTGCTATTCAGAGTGAGCACATTAGTCTAATTACTATGTTTCAGCGTATATTGTCTGCAGTTGGCATCGCTGTTTTGTTGATGAATATTCCAATCTTGCATCAAGCGGCAAAAATGATGAGTAAATTGTAATGGAAAGAGTTTTTTTCTGCGCTAAAAGTGCTATTATCATTTCAACAAAAACACCTCTTTAATTCTGATGATTGGCAGATAGAAAAGGAATACGAGTGAGAACTGTTTGTTACTTATTTGAGGAGCCGCTATGCCCTATATAAATGAAGACATTCATAATCCGTTGTCGATAAGCACATTTTAATCAAACCCCACAGATTAACGGGTAAACTTGACGGTTACGATACGTTAAAATGTATTAAAACATGACTTTATATCAAATCAACTATTTTCGAACCACTTCACCACTTCAAACTGGAAACTTCGATGTACTTCAAACGAAGTTCGTTTAAACGAACTTTCATCCGATTTACTTCTATTTCTTCTTTCGTGAGCTTTGTTTGAGACTTTTACATCAACTCCAGGAGAAAGTTATCAAAAATATTGCGACTTTGATGATTTCTCTGTTCAAAATCGTCAAAGCGAGAGTAAGACTTCAATTTCGTGAAACCTCCAAAGCGACCAAGAATCGCCTGCAGTTTTCTCTTCGTTTTCATTGCATACCTACAGGCGCATATATTTCATACCATCAAAAGCTTCACACAAAGCGACCAATTCACAAAAAATTGTGAACCCTTCACAATCAACGCAAACGAAATCTATTTAATGCTTCACTTCTTAAGAAAACCCATTAATATTTATGACTGTGCTTAGATGGAATGAATGTTGGATGACTGCTCATGCATTTGTTTCTTTATGTAACACACAAGATTCGTTTGTCACCTTTTGCTTTGGCAGACACAGAATTTTTAACGTCAGAAGCGCATCATGTTACGGAATGACGAATCGAATCCGGTTCGATTTCTTTGGACTTTATTCATTTCATTTGGTTTGAAAGTGGGAGGCTGCATCTGCCACGCAAATGGATATGATGTACGAATGTGAAAAGGTGAAATGCATCTTGTGCGTGGAAAAAACCAATTTATTTCGATGATAGGCGATGACACTAATTTCTGTACACCGCAGCCGGCGTCAATTGCATTCAAAAACTTTGGAAAATTCAGGTCATTTGCTCATCGAAATGCACAGACATTGGTCAGTTGGCAATTAAGAAAAAAAGAACTGACCACTATAAAAAC